ATTGCTGCTTTGTTTCTCTTCTTGGTATTGGGTTGGAAAAGTTTTGCCATTAATCGTGGCCGTCAAAGAACGTAGGAGTTATGTTAGAAGAAGAACGCGAGAGATGTCACAAACCCCTCCAAGAAGAAAAACGTGATTTATCTAAAGATTCTCAATGCCCTTAATAAATTACGTGCCTAAATTTTTATTTCTGAATCTCTTCGCTTTCTAAGTTTTATTTAAATTTTAACCTTGAATCCTCATTTTAACTTCTATAATTTCCAATATTTATCTTGACTTTAATTTTCATTATTCATCGTAGAATTAAATTTAATATTCAACTTAATTTTAAATTTAAACTCGTGACAGACACACAATAAATTTTATTCCATTAACTAGGCCAACATTAATAATTGTTGTTTAATAATGGTCTATTCTCACTTTTTACATATATACTTAAAGTAACTTAAATATTGATACACTTAGACCTTCTACTCGAATTTTTCCTGGGTGCGCAGACCCAAACTCTGCATCCGGACCAACATTTCATAGGGAGCTGGGATTTCGGCTCCACTGCTCCGTGTTGAGGCTACATATCAGCTATTGAACACTACTTTCAGGGTCTGTCACCTTGAAATAAAAACTCTCTAAGTTACTTTGTCAAATCTATGTTTACATAATACCAATAAGTTTCACAATTTTTATGCATTATATATCATTTGTAAATCACAATAAACTTTCATTTCCATCCCCGCATCTGGTTCCACAAAACTCCCAATGAGCCGCGCAGCGCCGTTAATATTATTGTTAGTGCCCTGACTACGCCGCGTTTCCCTGAACCAGATGCATCATAATACGGAACAATACAACATATATATATGCATACCTATTATACAATCACAAACATTTTTCAATAAACCATTAAAACAAATAACCAAAGGAATTGTCGCATCTCACGAAGTCATACATCGAAGCAAACAAATGCGCAATTACAATTGTTTTCTCCAAAAGAGAAAAAAATTTTTACAAGTCAAAAGTTCAAAAATAAATATACACTCATTGTAGTGTCAACTTTTGCTTGGATTATAACTTTTAAACACCGCCCGAGACTTCCTTCTTTGCAATAATTCTTCCGACCACTTGTTGGAAAGATCATAAAAAAAATGAAACAATACAACCTGATTTTTATTAGTCCCCGCACAGGACGTCCAATGACGAGGTGCTACCACTGTTCTTTCCTCTTCTTATTCCTTGTCTGCACTGGAATTCTTTATGTTGCCTGTTGTAGGGCTTGTAGTCTCCTTGCCGGCTTTTCTTTGTCTTGTTTCCTTGGCCGGTCGGGTCTCCTGATCCTTTCTTAGGCGTGGCCTCAGGTTGTACGTCGGTCCATCTTGAACTTCAGTTGTCTCCGTCTTGTTCTTTTTCCTACTTATATAAATAGTACTGGATGACAATGGTCTTTTGTTAATATTATTGTGTCCCTTTCTCTGCCACTTTCTCTGTGGTCCACTTGCCCCGATCCATACGACCTTTTCATTCCCTTAGCTAGCTTTTCTTTTTTATTTTTTCTGTCATTTGTAAATGAACTAGGAAGCGATCTGACCAGTGATCTGCGTTTATCGGTCCTATCTGTGTTTTTCTTATATTGTTTTGATTGGAGATTAATCCCTTTTTCCTCTAACTCACGTTTCACCGCAGATCTTTTTTTCCCATAGTGTGACTCATTTGATCCTTGATGTACATTTTCCGAACTACTCGTTTCCTGACGTGATCTAATACTATCTGGGTTACCTGTTCCTAACTCGACCTCGTCACATTTCCTATGACGATATATTCTTATTTGATCAACGTTAACCGTTAATCTTTTTCCTGACTTCCATATTACAATATTATTATTATTTCTTACTTCTAATACTCTATAGGGTCCTTCAAATTTTTGTTTAAATTTGGAACAGATTTTATTAGCTGCTGAACTTAAAGGGTGTGTCTCTAATAAGACCCAATCATTTACCTTAATTTGTATATCTCGTCTTCGTCTATTATAATATCTTTCCCACCTTTCCTGCTTAGTTTTCCGTACTTAGTCGAGCTTCATCCAAGATTTTTTTGATGTTTCTAACTGTGAATTCCGATCCATCTGAAATCATTACTAATTTTTGAAATGGGGTTATCAATTTTCGACCCAAAAATAATTCCGCAGGTGATTTTCCCGTTGTTTCATTCACCGCCGTACGAATAGCGTAAGCAAACTCACATAAGAATTGATCCCAAGTATCGTGTTGATCATTAACATAATTTGTGCAATCATTTGCACTATATCTCGATTAACTCGTTCAGTCCGATTTGCTTGTGGCCTATATGCAACAGTCTTCACATGCCTTATGCCTAATCTTTCACTTAAATGTTCAAAAATTTCGGATATAAATTGGGGACCGTTATCACTTATTAATTTTATTGGAGCTCCAAAACGCGATATAAAGTTATCAAAAAAAATATCCGCTATTATACGAGACGAGGCCTTTTTAAGAGGTATAATTTCAGCCCATTTGCTGAAATGATCGGTTATTACTAAAATATAGCGATTACGTCTTATTCTCGATATAGGATACGGGCCTAACAAATCTAACATCACTATCTCATTTGGATAATTTGATATAATCGGATTTAATCGACCAGCTGGTAACGCGTTTTTATAGTTATTAACTTGGCACATATGTCATGTAGAGACATATTGATCAATGAATTTTCTCATATACGGGAAATAACAAACGTCCCGAATTTTATGATACGTTTTAAATCTACCCAAATTTTCTGCAATTGGCTTGTCGTGAAATTCTCTCAATATTTCAT